CCTTCCTGAGCAAGCTGTATCCATCCACACCAACATTCCAATCATGTCTCATGCAATTTTAAAGACTAATTCATGTTGAGGTCTGTTTATTCACCTTCTGCTGTTGGAACCTCAAGTTTTTTTAGCTTTATTCTGCAACTACTACAGCTAGAAACGTAGGTTTCTTTTAAATGAAAGCTGAGATTCACAGATAATCACATGGCTCCAGGAGCTGGAGCGTTATAGAAAACATCATATGAAGTGAGAAATAGCAACACTGCAATTATTTTAGTGATCTGAGTCCTGACAACTCAGAGTCTGAGGCACTGGGAATGGGAATGTAGCTTGCAATGAATGTACTGGCAACTGCACTCTGCTGGATAGCACCAGATTTCTTCAAGCAGATGTGATTGTGCTGCCCACTGCCGGCTTGAGGCCTACAAAGATGCCATAAGCCCTAATACTAGTGACCTCTGCTGGGGATTTAGCCCCCAGGTGTTACAGCTGAAAAGCAGCAGCAGCTCCAGTGCCACGTGCTTTCCCAACCTGCTTCACTCGGCTTTGTTCTTTTGCAGATGCCTTTGATTTTGCTGACATCGACCACAGCTACGTGCCCAACCGGGACGAGATCAAAAAGCAGGGTGTGCGCCTGATTGAAACCATGACCAAGGCTGCCAAGAAGAAGCAGCGAGGAGGCCGGAAAGGCGCCTAAGGTCCAGTGCCACCATATCACACCAAAAGCAACTTTATTTCAGACTCAATAAAGCACTTCACTTTCCTCGGCTGGCCTCGTGCTGCCCAGGCCCACTCAGCGCCATGAGAAGCTGTCGTAGGGCGCCAGGGCCAGGCTGGTGAGGGCCCAATCCTGTCAGGTGCTCACCTTTGAAATGCAAAAAAAAAAAAAAAAAAGCCCCCTCCACAAGGCCAGCCCACCGCAACCCCAACTCCCACCCACAAGGGAATTCCGCAACTCTGCTCCTTTCAACAGCCAGTTATAGTATCTAGAGAGAGAACCCAGAGAGATAAGACTGATAACACTGCATGTGACTCAAGCCCTCTCTCACACACCCACGCAGTGCACTGGCATCCTCCTGGGCAGACAGCTGCTGTGTTTGCAACAGTTTTGATCTGTTGTCACTTAAACTGTGGAAGTGGGAGCACTGCAGCATCGTTAGCTGGACACAAACTAGCCCAATGTACTGGGATAATATTGCAAATCTTTAGACCCACTTTAAAAAACCCCCAGTAGATTCACTTATTTTTCTGACAACTGGGAAATCCATAAAAAACACCAGGCAGGCCAGGCAGATACTGGCCGGGGTGGTAATCCCAGTGCTGAGCGCCTGCACCTCCAGGGGCCTCGGCCCTCATGCCCGGCACCCTCGCCCTGCGCGAGCCCAGCCCCCGGGCGCCGCTACCAGCTGGGGAATGGGGCGGGGCTGAGTGGGCAGAGCCGGGCAGGATGGTGGGGAGGGGCGGGGTGCTGAGTCGGGACAAGGCTGAGTGGGCGGGGCGGGCTCGGGAGCAGGCGTGAGTGAGTTTCACTCTCTTGTCCCGCGCGCGGTTCCGTAGCTGCGCTTTCTGCGTGCGTCTCTCTCTCCTTAAAGCGAAAGGACCAAGATGGCGGCGGCGCGGGGCGCTGAGCGGTATCTCTTATCTCAGCGGCCGGCGGCACCTGCGAGGGCCTGGCGGGGCTGAGCCCGACCCACAGGAGCCTGGGCAGCGTCGAGACCCGGACACGCCGCTCTCTGCCCCGGGCCCGGGCGATGCCGCGTTAACCTGCCCGCCCGCTCGGTCTGTGCGGGGGCAGCCCCGCAGGGGGGCAGGCTCTGGGAGTGCCGCCGGGGCGCATTCCTCCCCCTGGGGCACGGACTGTGTCTGCTTAGGCTCGTCAGCACCCCCGATGGCCGCCTAAACCGCCCCCCGGCCGTGCGCTGCCCTGCCCGGCGCTGCTGCTGAGCTCCGCCGGGAGGCGCGTTTCCTACGCGCTGGTAGAGGGTCGGGCCCCTGGGAAGGCGGGGGACGAGGAAGATGTTCTCGGCCCTGAAGAAACTCGTGGGCTCGGACCAGGCTCCCGTCCGCGATAAGAACATCCCCGCAGGGCTGCAGTCTATGAACCAGGCTCTGCAGAGGAGGTTTGCCAAGGGAGTCCAGTATAACAGTGAGTAGGCGCTTGGAAGTGTCGGGGGGCAGCAATACAAGCGTGGGGAATAACCTCTCGGGTTGCACCGTCCATGCCCTGGGAGCTGTATCATTCCTGCTGTTGGGTGCAGAGGAATGAAACTGTAACCATATGAGACTAGCCCTTTGTTTTGTGTGCTGCAGCTCTCACAAACTGTCCCCGGAACAGTTTGTGGCATTAAATAGTTCCACTATATGTGGGAGATGGAGTGATAGGAAAGGGAGAGAGACCTCTACTCGAAAGACAGAAAACTCAAATCTTTAATGCTTGTTTTGAAAACTTCCTGTTTTAGGCGCTGGATGGTGCTGAATGCCTACATCCCCCCACACCTCTACCGATTTCATTGACCGTTATAGGAGCACACCATTTCCCCAAGATTAGTCCATTAAGATGCTAGGAAAATTATTCCTCTCCTCCTCCCTCCCCCCCCCCGATATTTGGATGGCCTTTGCTACATCCCAGGAAAATGGTACTTTCCCATCAGGTGTTAATGGCTGTTTGTTATTAAGTGAATATTGTGGAATTTTGCCATGGTAAAGGTTAGTGACAGGGCCAAACCTGAGTGGTGCTGCAATGCAGTGCAGCAGGTCACAATGCCTGGAGCAGAGAGCCAGGTCCAGCCCCATGGGACAGGGACTGCTGCTGTGAGGGTGAGAGTGGAGCAGGCTCGGTCTCCAATGCCTAGAGTAGGGAGCTGGGCCCAGCCTTGTGGGACAGGAGCCACCTCTATGCAGGCTCCCTCTCCAGTCTCTTCCTCTCCACATCAGGCCTGCAGCCCACCTAACCCTTCCCGTGACTCAGTGGTGGGTTGAGACCCACTTTTGGGAAACACTGACATCAGGTGATAGCTCTGAAAATAGACACACACCAGCACAGTGAGTATTAGCTCATCTGTATGGATCTGTGTAAGTAGCGAAGTCAGAGTGCAGAAGGCTTGAGAGGAGATCAGCAGTGTGGAATAATGTGTCTGATTTGTAAATGTTGGACTTGAATAGTTTTCTATGCATGTGTGTGCAGCTGACGTCAGCTGTGTTGTGAGGCTAGTGTTAGAAATGTAGAAAGGCTGGTCAGCAGTGCTTTTGAGGGGGTGTATGTGTGTTTCTTTGTTATACTAGAGGAAGCATTTGGTTCATATCTGTTAAGTATACTAAGAAGAGTGTGTAATTTAGAATGTGTAGAAATTGTGTGGAGCTATATCTATTTTTAAGATTAATACAGCTGCGTCAAAAATGCAAACACTAAAGCCACCAAGCATTGATTCCTTAGCAAGTACATCCATTTTAACTTTGTCACATTGCTAAAAACCTGTGGAAGGGTTTTGTTTGGTGCCTTGACTTGACTTGTGTTCTGATAGCTTCAGTTCTATCATCAATATTAAAAACAGCATTCTGTCACTGCCTTGGGGGAAGCTTTCCAATCGCCATAGTAACTCTTCGCTCAGTGTTGCTGTTATATAATATTTACAGAAGAGACAGGCCAGCTTGTGAAAGGGTTTTGGAGGTGGTCCACTAAGACCCGCATGGTGTATTTATTTTTGAATGCCATGCATGTGTGACCCTTCGAGGTTGGACAGGTCTTGGCATGAGGAGTTATAACTAAGGCTACCTGTGACTTCCAGACATTCTGTGCTTCAGCCTCAGGGGCTGCAGGACTCTGGAGCTGGCAGCCAGCGGGGCCCTGGAAGGGTTCCAGTGACAGGCGACGGGGGCCCCTTGCAGGGTTCCAGTGACAGGTGACAGACTCCTGAGGGGGGGTCTCAGGATTCCAGCAACAGGCAACAGCCTCATGTGGGGTGGGGGGCTGGGGAGGGTGATCCGTTTTCTTTTTGGGCAATATGGTCACCCTGCAGTTCCCAGCCACCATGGGCGGAGGGGAGCTCCCCCTGCAGCTTCCAGCTTCCAGCTGCGGTGGGCAGAGGGGGAACCCCACAGCTCCCAGCCACCATGGTGGCGGGGGAAACCATGGAGCTGCAGCAGTAAAAGTCAGACAGGTCACGGCTTCCGTGAATTTTTGTTTATTGTCCGTGACTTTTACTAAAAACAACTATGACACAATCTTAGCCTTAGTTATATCATGAGTTGGATATGGGATAGTAAGGGATGTCAGGCAGAAAGGGTGTCACTGTGGGGAAGACAAGGCTGTAGCTCTTACTTTATTTCACCAATACTCCTTTGAAAGTTTAAAAAAAATATGAAATTCAAGGGGAAAAATGAAAATGCTTTTCATAGCCATTGTATACAAATAAATGTCATACCTTTAACCCCCTTTTTCCCTACATTTGCACAAATCCAAATTTAGGGTTCGCTGTCATGGCTGTTACAAAAATGGTCTCTCACTTTTTTGATGATCCATGCAAAACATGAAACTGAAATCTGTTTCCTTACCACACATTTATTTAGCTCATACACTGACTTGTTGAAGGATTGCTCATAAGAGCTATAGCTAATGGACTGGCAGCCAGGAATTCCTACATTCTAAATCTGGCTCTGATACGGATTTGTGTGATTTTGGGTGAGTCATTTCACCTCTTTGTGCCAGTTTCTGTATCTGTGTAGTATATTTAAGAAAAGAAGTGGAAGAAAACCCTCAGGTGGATAGTTTAACTATATAAAGTGCTGAGTGTTATGCTAATGAATTCTGGACAGCTGGCATCAGTTATAGGAAAAATGCATTGAAGCACTTTGTTGAGGGAACCCCATCCAGTCCCTGCCAAATAATATAGACCTTTCAAACAGAAGAGAAGAGGTTGGCCTGTTTGTAGGGTATGATTTCGGAAGAGGGCAAGGCCTAATAGCAGCCTTAGCAGCAGCCACTAGTATTCAATGGAGAATCCTATTTCAAAATATATTTTCATACTTGTATCTTAATATATGTGTTTTTTCACGAACTCCTCATCCACACTGTGCCTTGTGGAAATACCACCATACTTGGCTTTTTAGTATCAGAGAAGAAAATAAGCTATAAGCACTGCCAAACTACAAACTGAAAGTTTACATAAGGTGGTGATAGGCTGGGAGAGGAAGAAATGAATGAATGTGGCTGACGGCCTTTCTGGGATTATACGTCTGAGGATTCCCTTGAAACTACCCACTGATGGTAACTGATCAGAGCAAAAGATGTGAGGTAGTTTGAAAGATCCAGCTGTCATATTCTGTCTTGCCTGGAGATGGGAGCCTGCTGTGCTACCTTTCTCAAACTGTTTGACAGAGCAGGCATGTCACAAAACAGAAGGAAGTCTGTGTGTTCCTTTCAGATGGCTTTGGACATAAATCAGTATAATACTGACAAACACGTGTGTAGACACTGCCTAAAAATCACCCACTAGTAGGAAATATTGAGGCCAGTGGTTCTGGGAAATCAAATATTCTACCAGTCTTCTGCTTTTCTCCCCTTGAAAGTAGAAAAATGTTCTCATGGATATATTGTATCCTTTTTATGAAGTTTTAAAACCTGATTTTCTTTATTGTTATAGATTATTTGTTGTATTGTAGCAACTATGAACATACCTCAGTTTAACATTCTGGAGGAGCAAGGACAGAGTTGAGAGTCGGGAACTCCTGATGTCTAATGGTAGTTAGCCACAGACTCAATCTGTGGCCTTGGGCCATTGCCTCTTCCTCAGTTTCTCTATCTGTAATAATGAGTGGAATCTATCCACCTTTTGTAGAGGATGTTAATTATGTGGATAAAAAGTGTACTATATACTAAATGACTTACTTTCTTTCCTCACATTTTTCTGTCCCCCACAAATAACTTCTGATGTTTGTTACACAAACCTGTGTGTGTTGCTTTAATTTAAACCACTATTTACTATCAAATTAAAGCTGCAAGCCTACCGTTATCATAAGTGGTAATACCTATGTGTACCTTATTGATGCTCCTCATTTCAAATTTAGGAGTATCCAAAGGGCTGTTGGCCGGGGACAATCAGGTAATCATGAGTGGGCTTGTAGTGAGTGTTGAGTTACTGGTGATGCTGAATGTCATTTTTTTTTAATGATATCCAGGACCTTATCGGAGTTATGTATATGCAGCAGTGGCAAGAGTGTTTGGCATATGATAAATGAAGTAAGAGAGTAGCCTTGGCATATTAAATTTTAAAAACCTTCCCTATAACAAGGAGGGTGTGACTGTAATTAAAAAACAAACAAAGGCAGTGTTAAATTCACCCTATTGTTACTTGAGTGGTTATTTTGAGTGTCTTGACACAAGTTGCATAGCATAAGAATGACCACACTGGGTCAGACCAATAGTCCATCTAGCCCAGTATCCTGTCTTCTGGCAGTAGCCAAGGCCAAGTACTTTAGAGGGAATGAATAGAACAGGGCAGTTTTTCAGTGATCCCTCCCCTACTGTTACAAGCAGTAGGAACCACAAAAGAGATAGGAATGGAGTGGTTGCCCTTACCTTAAAATATCTTGCATTTGCTAGTTAACAAAAAGGTGTCCTCCTCAACTTAGTGGAGGTTTCAAATGTAGGTTTTTATGTGTTGTTTAAAATGGTTCAGCAGACCTGACTTCTAAGCCTTTGGAACTAAACTTTTTCTGTTTTAACACACAGCTGAAGAGTTAACCCAAACCCAGCAGTATAGTTCAAGAGAAGCAGAAATTGATACAAATTATAAGCAATTAAACTGACCAATGTAATTACCTTTTTCAAACTGAGGAATGCGTGAACAGCATAAATGGTGAAAGATGCATCTGACTTCTAAGTCTCATTTCCTTTTAATAACCTAAGCTGTAATTTAATAATGGCCATAGATTTTTAAAGGACTCTCCACGGGAGGCAGTCTGATCCTGGCGTAGCTCTGAGACAGCAGACCTGGGCTCCTGTTCCAGCCCTACTGCTGACTTTCTGCATGATTTAAGGAAAATAGGTTCATTTTTTTTTAAGTAAGCATTCACCTTTCTGTATGTGTTTCTCCATCTGAAAATGGAGATAATGCTTATCTACCTCTTTAAGGATTCTGTCACATCTGT